CTCTTCATATCCTCTTAATGTTTCCTTAGAACGTAAAGTATACATAATACCACTCAGATGCAACTCGTAAATTACTTTCTGAATCTTATCCACTCAATTTATGTATAGAAAAATGCCATAACATCATGACATCCGTCAGAAGTCAAGTCACAAGAATTATTTCAGCTTTAATTATTTACATGACTGGATAGTGAAATATTCATATCGTAAAAAAATTTGATTTTCGAGGTGGAGTCATCAGCATATAACTTTGTCGATCATGAAAATAATCTGACATAGTTCTATGTTTTACACTGCAAAATTTCTTTTGTACGCCTGAAATCGGATGAAAAACACGGTTAAAAAGTCCACTGAGTACATGTCTAAATATCTAAACCATCAAAGGTACAGATTGTATAGAAATGACTATTCTTCTAAACCTATGAAACTCATTTTATTTAAAATCACTTATTGTGAGACGTAAATCTTTAAGAATCAGATAAATCAATATTGTGGTAATATTTTTTCGTTTATATTTTTGCATTAGAACCACTAGTCTGACCAGATAAAATGATAATTGACTTTTAACATTTATTAATACGCTTTCTGTTCATAACTTTTTATATTCAGGTTTACAGCAATTTCTTCATTATAAACCAGAATATTATGTATGCTTTTGATTGAATTACAAATAAAAAGGCCAAAAGGTGGTCACACAAGATGTTCTTTAGGTTAATGAGTAACAATTACGAAAGTTACATAGCAAACTGTTTACAGGAGAATAAAACTTTTGAATGTCATTAGGAATTTTACAGATGAGTCACTCAAATGTAAACCGTTTGTGCACCATGCTCTAGTGTTACTGGCTTTGAACATCCAAATTATACACTAAATTATTCGGTAAGTCTTAAGTTTTAGAGTGGAGTGGTTAATTATCTAGTCCAATTTCTATTAGCCATCGAAACTCATTATAGAACGCACAATACAAACAGAAGGCTGGAGATTAAACCCATTATTATCAAGTTATTTCATTCTAGTGATGCTTAATTAGTGAAAAGAAAATAAAGGGGTCATAACGGCAAGGCATTTATGGTGATCCTTAGTGACGCAATAAAGGTAATAAAAAAGCAAGAATCTGACGAAATAATTTTTTCCTCACGCTCTAATACAATGTTTATTAGAAACTGTGTGACGGATTCAATATTTATATTAACCAGTTACTAGTCTTAATTTCGTGTTACATAAAAAGATAGCTCTCCACCCTATTAACTTGAACGAAACACATGTCCAGTTCTACATAGTTTTGGTTGACTTATTAATAAATCAGTGTTCTGGACAGAATATTTCACCTTCCAGGTTAATTTTATGTTGTTTACATGATCCTAATATATACAACTGAAGGCTTTAAAAGTCTATTTGTTTTAACACATCATTGATTGATTTCAGAGGAGTAGGTGATTTAAGCTAAGGAAAGTGAACTAGAAGCATATTATTCAATCAAAGGTCTGAAGGTTATGGGTTTCAGACCATGTGAAGTCATCAGTGCGAATTGTAAGGGGGTTACAAATGAAGTCAAAACTATCTAGCGGTCCAATTCTTTTCAGAGGTTTTCCAGCTGATGCTACATTGAATGAATTCCACTCATTTCTGAAAATTTGACTCATGTCACTTATCTGAGGCTTTAGGGTACGATACTACATACTCGTTTGGCAAACATGAAACCTTCTTCGGAAGTACGAAAAACTGATTTGCTTTGGATTTTAACGAGAGTAAATTCAAAACGTACTGTTATATGGTTTCGTATATTTTATCAATCCCCCACCTCAAGATAGCCACGAGTACCAAAACATTAATATCGTTTTGAAATGGCAGTATACATGAGTGTCGTGTAATGTAATATTTGAGAGAAAAGGTTTACCATAAAACTACGTTCGTTAGTGATGGAAACAGACCACTATAAAATAATATTTAGATGGGAGTTAAAAAGGAATTACATGCTATTTGCTACTGTAGTTCCAGCTTTGAAATTTTATCTATAACATAACTGACTAGTTTCCCTTTGTAAAAGATAAGTTCTGGAGAAATCTCATAACGTAGAATAGAGAAGTTAGGAAAAGCTCTAGAAAAAGCGTCTATAAATACTAAAAGTGGAAAATGAGGTTAGTGTAGGGAATCATTTGATCTCATGAGTCGCAGATTTCTAGAGGTATGTGAAAGAGATCGGTGCAGCGCAACAGATTTATTGAGCCCATAATTAAAAATCCCTATCGTGTACGCGGCCGCAAATTATGTGAGTGTCCTTTTAAACATATCTAGCTATTTTAGTTAGAGTAGTATACTCTGAAAAATGTGAAGTTAGTAGTTTAAACCTCAGTCTACCTAGGTGGCGACGTATGAGTAATGTTTTGAGTGTTTTTGTAGTCCATCACATTCACTCTCACAGATGTCATAAATCCAGTAAACAGGACAAAAACCAACTTTTTTATCTCAATGAAATATAATTATGACTTAAGCACCGTTAAAAATTTTGATGAACGTTAAACAAAGTCTTTTAATAAGAACAGATAATCAAATATATCTTCAAATAAGTAAATTAAGGTTCTTTTTCATATTGATTAAACATGTCTGGAATGTAAAGAACCCAAAAACCACTTAAACCCAGCGACAGTCCTGTAAAACTAATAACTTTACTAGACTGAATGACATCTGGTTAACACATGTAAAGGAATTTGCGAAACACTTTTCACCATGGCCTATAGTTTCATATGGACATACAAAACTCCATCTGGTGAACCAGTGGCTAAGGAGAAATGCGAAACACTCATGTCACTACTATGTGATTGTTATTGATATACAAAACCAGTCTTTAAAATTATCCATTGGAGTCCATCAAGTTTCTATTTGCACATCTCAATCAAATGCTTACTGGTATCGCACTACAGCAGAAATAGATGATGTAGTACATTCTTCTGGAATATTTTTTCTAATCGGTTTAACATGACTTCCAATAATAGAAAGGAATAATTGGATTTATGTTTACCTTAGTCTACCTTCAGTATCTGCCAACCTAGTTTTTCGAACTACTAACATTTAGGACTTGAAATTAACTAGAAGACGCACAATTTTTCTATTGTTGCCAGGTAATTATGTCAAGTAATTAACAACACCTTATACTACAGACTTATAAATGTGACTGAAATTAGTGTCAAGGGCTTACAGATAAATACTCGTAGGTAGTACATGGATACATGCATGAAAGGATATTAAGTGACAGTATAGATTTTGAAGGGGCTATGAATTTCCTATAAAGTGAACCCGACTAAGATAAACAAACCTAAGAAACTAAAAAGACACATCAGCTATGACAATCTAAAAAGAGAAGGTTCAACAATTTAACACATTCATGTACGTCAAACGTTAAAATACGATAAAATATATTAAATTTTAGTTATATCCTTTGGCCCACTTTGGATATTAAGGCGATAGAAAATACAAGTACGTTCTGAGACGTTCAAGGGAAATAACTGTTTAGCATGGTATCTATTGGGTAATTTCTTGTCTTATTATAAGCAGGGTGAATTGAGGAAGGAATTCAAACAAGTATATGTAATCAAGAAAAAAAAGCCGACAGAATGAGATACAACTTAGTTTATGAATCTTGAAAAAAAGTTCTACAAAAGCACCAATATGTCTTCAAAAAGGCCTAAAATTTTGAATACTTAAAAGATATGGAAATATTACTTATCCGTCTTGTCACAAGGCAGAACAAATTGTGCTTTTATAATGGTATTCCAAATTTTCTAAACAAATGCAATTTAATATGCCTTCATTATCTGCCATAATCTGAAGCTAGCTGTTTTTTAGCTGACTAATAACCATCGTACAACGCTCCTACCATTTGTTATGTTTACGCTTAACAATCGTTTTTATCCCCGGTATAACAATCCGATCGTAATGTTTCCATTCGTTATTCTCAATTAATAACAAAAGAATACGTGAAAGGACAAACATATCAGGTGCGTTGACCTATTAGAGAAAACAGTTAATTAGCTAACGTGATCTTAACGCCTGAAATTAAATGAAGTTATAGTAGGGATCACAACCCAGTCAGTTTGAGCTAAACTACTAAAGCCATTTAGGGTCAAACGTACAATAAAACTTGTCTTTAAACCGTCTTAACTTGAATTGCAATCAAAAAACGAAAAGAAAGGTTCAAGAAATTTTACATCACTCATTGAAGTCAGACAAAATTACTACAGAAAGCAAGTTTAGCAAACTACACATAAGACAAAAGATAAAACAAATGCTACATGGGAAGCTATTTTTAGTTGGATATACTTTTAACTATTGTTAGGAATTCCTTAAGACAACCATAGAAAAATTCGTAGGTATCTTGTAATTCATGTGTTGTGCATCGACTTTTACAGCTAAGTTGAAGTACTTTTCAATGAATTAAGTATGTTCTGGCAGCTATCAGTAGGCAAGAAGTACGTACGGTCTATGTGCGCACAACAATCGAGGCTCCAAAACATGACGACAGGACTAGACCTTTCATAAGAAAGTGCATTCATGTGAAAAGGAGTTTGCAGGCAGCTAACCCTAACCATCAAATGTAAATCATAATTCTAATTCCTTACATTAGTTCATAATCCTCATTTAACCCTAGTATGTAGGTGGATATTCTTAAGGCCACTTAAGCGTAGCTCAAAGGTCGTGCATACATTTCAGTCTAACCAAATTTCTTCCTAATTAATATGTGTTCAGGACTAAAACGGATATTTTGGATTTGAGTTGTTTTGTTACCAAGGACGAAAATCCTGTTTTAGCCCTTATCACTATGTTCATGAAGGTTTTTTGTTTTTTTACATTGTGGGTCAACCAAGTAACGATACTACTTCTGATCTTGAAAAAAAGACAATAACGTTTAGAAACGTCTGAATGGACAAAGTAATCTTGGTAAGAGAACAAAAATGACTATATGTAGATACAAAAAGTCCGAATCACACTACACAAAATCTTGCCTTATTTACTGGAAAGTATTTAAACTAAAACACCAAAAACGAGAGCTGGTTGAATTATGCGGCGTTAAGACTGTTATGTTCAACGTCCTCATTAGACATGGATAACGTAGATAAAGCAAACTGACTAATTATTTCTTAATAAAAAAGTAAAGTACTAGGAGATGCAAGAGGGAATGTAAAAGATGTGTAATGAAAAAAACTGGGTGGGGAATAAGTTCACCATAATCTTCTATGAGTTGTTGAAATTTACTGGATGTAATAGTTTGCTTAACTCCATATATCACAAGTGTTAGTTAATTTCGTGTTTTTCGGCTATTCAAGTGGTGTAAATATATTGCTTTTATTTGGGCAGTTGAATCAATAGATATGTTTACGAGTGGTAAAGAAAACAAAAATGGAACGACAGTGTATGAATACCAGGTGGACTGATGTGATGAATATAGTGATTTTACGTATTCGACCGAGAGATTATACATCTTCGTTAGTGATGAAGTAAGAGTTACGATCAATCTATTGTTGTTTGATTTCCCGTATAGCTTCTAGTCATGCTTAATGACTCTTTGAATTAGAGTTCATTTCTTGAAGACTAAAATAGATATTTCATTAAGATATGTTGAGTGATTTTAATCTTATGACTGTGTGTTGTTGAAATTTGTGTCTTATGTTTTGCATGAATAGCAGTTCTGCAAAGCATGCACGAAGCTTGGTTTTAACTTATGGAAGATGAACAGGGCCACCTATGGGCAACAAGTATAGATTTTAAGGATGGCATTGAAAGTATAAGGACTGTACTTTGTATCTCAAGGTCCATGTAGCATTTATATCAGGCGAACCATTTTTTGTTGAGATACAGCCTAAGGTGTAGGGTAAAATCGAAAAATTGGGCAACAGTCTAAGAAGATGGCTGAGTTTGTTTTTATCTTCCTTTGACCGCAACAAAAAACATCCGCCTTGCCTTCGCGTTCTTACTCTTCAGGTTGTTAAGGTTTTTGTGCATGGTCTGTCATGTAACGACATCTATGACTCATAAATACTTGGTGCAATAAGCTGAACAAACGGAATGGGAATAACTATAGCAAGTCAAATACTTACTTTCTTCTTCATCAACGACATCTTTTATATTGAAGAATGAGAATGCAGTTGCAAAAACTGTCAAGCGCTAACAATCGACAGCTGTGTACGAAGTGATTTCATCGGGCCTATAATAAGTTCTCTTTATTGGTGGTGTACATCATCCGAAGCAGAGTCGTCTTGAAATACAGTACATTTTATTCATATTTGAATTTGTGAATAAAGCGAAAAAACATCCACTGTAATGAGTTCTCAATTATTAAATTTCCTATGCACCAACAGAGTTCAGACAAAGTGTTAAATGGACAGATCCTAGATGCCACGGTAACGATTGTCTAATTCATTCGTTCTTCCGACTCAACAAGCGCCTTGATCGTGCGGCAACAAAATGTTTATTGAAAATATGGTTTTTCTAAAAATTCCTCGTGTTCCACACTTCTTACATCAAACCGTCAGCAAATAACATTACATGAACCATGCGTTCATTTCACAGTGTGTCAGTCGTTGTGACCTAGCTAGGTTCATAAACTAATATCCCATATTTTATTAGGATAACTTGACTTGCTATGAAGCTCTGCATTTATTGCATGCAAGATGTCTTTCATTGCAATATGACATTTTTCATAAATTTAAATGATGTAAGCCTTTGTACTACTAAACAAAATAACTAGTGTCAGTAACAAAAGCAATTATTTTATGATAGTTCTATACACACTGGTTCCTTTGTTTAAAATCCTATGACATCATTTTTAAAGAAGCACTAATGTCCTGATTACTTTATTTTCTTTCTTAGATTGTTTCGCAAGAGGTAATCACAGGCGAGAATGCTAATGTTTGGATTTTATGCATTTAAATTAAGTTTCACTTAATATGTAGAATTATGGTCTACTATGATATTAGTACTGCTCTAATAATAGACCTAATCCTGAAATCGTAGATTCGACGTATAACTGTCTAATTTATAAGATCTTACGTGGAAGTTACAGTGGAGCGTGGGATTATTTGTTCAGACAGACAAAGCCTTTCAACATTCACTATAAGACAATAGGAAATATAGCGTCTATACAAAATAAGGAAGTAAATGAATACTTGAACTATACTGTTTTGACATATGTTTAGTTGTTTGAGGTGTAATCTTAACCAGCGAACTTACACTATTACAAATATACTTGTTACAGGGAGACATTTTAAAGTTCTTTCTTGTTATAATCAGTGTAGTGGTGTGTATAACTATTTATGAGTCGCCTGTGCACGGAACGCTAATAGATAGTGGCGTGATGTGTAATACAAGTTGGTACTCATGAAAACAAATGGTTGTAAAATGTATTTAGTCTGCAGAATTTACAAATCTGCTAGTTTTACATAAATTACGTGAATTCAGCTTAATGCATTCTGCGATGATGCAAAAGTTGGATCTGAAATACCATTGGTGAGTTAAATGTAGTGATAAACATGGGGCCATTCTCAGGCGGTCACGATAAAGTATGCTGATCTTTTAGCTCAAAGAATTCACGAGCTGAAAGAAGACGTGTGTATAAACTACACGCTGCTTGTAGTTAGAGACCTTTCGTACTTAGTCACCAGCGCCTGTGGACCGTAAAAGTGAATGTTCTAACAGGAAAAGCGAAATAATATTATGCGATATTGATACAAACATTTTAACAAATAAAGGTAGTGAAATATATACGCCATATCATGAACTAACAGTTTTCCAGCATAAGATTCATGGATCCTCATTCGACTCTCTCTTACTAAAAGTGTCTCTTGTATGGACTTGTTTAATTTGTTGTTTTACGTAGAGTTAGTCTTAGTTACTTATGCGTACTCTCGATAAGACTATTCATATTTTTGTCCAAAGTCAGAATGTCATTACTGGATAAAGCAGTACAAACACGTTTCCTAGTCGTGTCTATCAATATTTCTGTTAGTTCTGTTTCTTATTGAGTAATATCCGTTAAGCTCATGTGTTGAGCAGATATATAGTGTCTTCTCTGTACACTCAGTTTTTCACTCACTGTTTGATAAAGGTGATTTCGGCAGCAGACTCGATAAATAGTAAACAGTAAGTCGCTCTTTTACCCCTTGAATATTCCTTTCGACCTTTCTCGACAGTCGAAAGTGTAGATGTAAGCAATATGTTTGTGACTTGATTCAACAGCTAGTTATTCAATCACCCGCAAATACAAGACTTGTGGAGCGTTCGCCGAAACCACGGGAAGTCATTTTCTAGAGTATCCAAACGCCGTCCTTTAAAAAATCTGTCATATTTCCTTCGGTTTTTTTAGGAGCATGCATCGTTAGAGATTTAACTCAGTTGGTAATCTATGTATAGAACCACGCGCCCATCAAGAACTCGAAAACGAAACCTGGAGCATCACAAAGAGCTACACACAACACCGATCACATGACTCAGTTACCAAACAGGATACCATTCAAATAAAAAAAGAACTAAAGCCAACACGGGTTTTTACTTCTGGCAGTACTGGCGAGCATGGAAACAAAGACCACTGTAGCACACATCCCTAACTACCTAGAATGGATCACCCACTACTCGAAAGTAGTTTTCATTGATGGTTAGTTGGCAGGAACAGAAACTGGCTGTAAGGTTGTAGCAGTAACAACGCAACTCCCGTTTTATCAAAACCAGTAAAGGGATAAAAAGTTAGGCTGATCAGCTAAGAGTTGACCATAAACATCTAAATGAATTTCGGGACATTAAAGCTTAAATATTCAATCGCTTTCTTTATTTTCCATGGGGGGTTATATTTCCTCCTATGTTATTTTGAATGTTGGGAAGTCTTTTATATTTTTGAAAGTATAACTTTGCTCTACTTTCCACCTTTGAGTATAAATAAAAACCTACTCACTAAAAGAGTAGTTTTTTCTATCACGAAAACTAAGGTTACCCACTGGCACGAAATGGGTGGATGATAGACTAAACTCTCTGATCCACTTCAGTGTTCGTTTGTCGAGGAGCAGTGTTGTGGAAGACAGACCAGCTCTCGATAAACAGCCATGATAAAAACAGTGCGTCTTGCCTGACACGGGTGCTGTCGAAAGGAGACTTTGCCATTTGTGTAATGACCAAAGTCATAGATATAACGACCGAACTGCCAATATTATGTTAGGACGCAAAACTAGTGGACCAAAATTTACTCGATTGGACCACACTACGTTCTTTCGTATGATGTATCAGGCGTTTTTGTGTTACTCACATTAAATTATATCAAACCAAATACTCTGTGCTCAATCTAAACGGTTTTAATTTAGGAAAGGGAACAATTGATATCAAAAATACAAAATACCTCGAACGAGCGGCTTGTGCTATACAGTTAAAAAATTTTCTAAGAAAAATTAGCGTGCTGAACAACAAAAGAAACAGTCATTACAAAAGTGTTCAATTCCTGGGAATCAATAAAAATATTCCCAACTAGATGGGATTAGATATTTATCTGTAGGGGCTTTAGTAATTTTTCCAAGCAGACACCCAAAGGTTAACAGACAAACACTGAATCACACCATGACATTAGGCTTAACCAAACACGACCTTATTGTAAATAGTCTGGCGACATGCAACAGAAAAATTAGGTAACAAAAGTAATTCTTTAATCAAAGCCACATAATAAAAGATCAGACGAGGAAGACTGAAGAACACCAACAGTGGTTGGAAAAGATCTGAATAAAGATTGAAGTACACAACAGAGAGAAGAAGCACATAAATTACATTACTGTCCAAAAAAATGCATTGGAGAGATTTTTTAACGTTTTCTTTCTATTACAATCCATACCTGGAGAGGACATATTAAATTCTCAGAGCGTAAACAAACACAAAGAAAGTGCACTCCTGGTTCCATTGCTATCACCACGCCTGAGGTTCGTTTAGTTGCTTATAGTGAGGTAGAAACGAATGCTTGTAACAGATGATAGACTTCAGCTAAGGACTCTGATAATGAATCTGCCACAACATAGTGCAAGTGCCAGAGATGTTTCCAAACATACCTGGTTG